CACCCCTTGCCTCTTGAACCGGCGCAAGTTTGGCTAAAAGCAGCATCGCACGATCCCAATGCACAACTCCGGAATCAAGACAGGTTTACTACTCCCCAAGCCATCAACTAATAGTGACTAACACGCAACTACACTCATGACGTTTCTAAACCGAAATAGGTATACGACTCGCAATCCATCCCCGGACGGGCCGATCGACCTGGTTCCTCGAGACTTGTCAATTCTCCTACCCATTGTTACCGCTTCTCTCGTTTCTCGGAAGGTCGGATTGGATGAGAGCGAACGAAGCCATGGCGTGACGAAACAAGTTGAGAGAGGGGTCGGGGCTGGGGCTGGGGTATGGGATGTCATGGGAGCGGCAGTTGGGGGATCAGCGGCGGGGTGAAGAGCTGCAGAGGTGAACTTGGGAGAGACAGGAGACATTGGCAAGGTGGTCTCGATTGTACTTGGAAGTATGTATCGATAATGATGGCTATGTATGCCCATTACGTCTCGAGAGACTCAATTCTCAAGTATCATCTGACCATCAGGAACATGAGGAGGTTACTGATGACGCTGCCACTCACACAAGCCAAGACGCGGATAAAAAGGAGATGAGGGCAAACGGATATGCACACTGTGGTGCCGTCATGCGTAATGTAAGTGTGTGAAGTTAATAGCGGTGAAACGTCATGTACGTATCGCACAACAAACAGGTCGAGGATCAAAGGCATATCTTTGTGTGAGAAAACGGTTGGTAAAAACAAATAGAGCTCGGAAGCTCAGAGGTAACGTATTATTCATAGTCCTATATCCTTTCTCGTAAATGACGAGTCGATTCCTCGGGACATAACCCACAAATGCTTGACAACTCCAGTAGATGCCTTTCGTACTCAATCAAACAAACACAGTCTAGTCAGCGCCAATGAGATGCTTGGGCAAGAATGTCCAGATTGTTCCCAACGTGCCAAGGATGGCGAACACAACCAGTAGAATAGCAGAAACAATCTTTTCGCGCACTGTCACATCCTGCCAGTATAGTTTCAAGTAGAATGAAATGGGCAGGATGATAGAAATGAGTGTGCAAAGAGCCGCACCGAGGAATGCACACACAGAGTCGAAGGCCGGGAAGACAATAGAGATGAACAATAAAAGAATGACCACAAAAACGCGCACGAGGCCTCGCACTGCCTTTGTAACTAGAACCGAAGAACGAGTAGGCTGGCCGTGAGGCTGGTCATGATGGTGATGATGCTGATCGTGAACTCCGCAGATGACGTCCAAAGTCGTGATGATAGGGCGAGCGTTGAGAGGGATCTTTGTCAAAGGAATGATAGCAATGAAGATTGACATGATGATCTTCAGAGCGTCAGGATAGCCCTTTGATTTGAGAATGTTGGAGGTGATGGCATCCTTGATACCGTCACCAAACATTAGGAGACCAATGACAGCCAGGCATGTGTCCACAATGTACTAAGCAAAGTCAGAGAAGCTGCCAAAATATCAAGGGACTATGTATACTCACGGAGAAGGAAAAGGTAACATTCACAGCCTTGCCCCATTTGTACGGGTGACGCATGTCACGATAGATCTGAATTGCTTTAGCTCAAGTGTCCAACTTGACTTGACGCGGTAGAACTTACGGATGGAAAAACAGAGTGCGCACCCCAAGGGCTTGCGAGGAGACCGTAGGCAAGAGGTACAGCAAGCCAGTTCTCGGGGAATAGATAGGTTGTTGCTGGCTCTCGCAGCGAACCAGGATAGTGAGGTTTGTACAGGCCGTCAATAATGACAATCACGACAACTGTATCATATTAGCAAATGCGTATTGGCAACTGAGAAACGATGATGTACTCACTGCAGAAGGTCGAGAAAATACCAACAACGCTGGTGTAACTCAGCAGGCGCAATGGCAATGCGTTCAGGGCCAGAACCAAGGCAGAAGCCACAACCTTCCATGTGTTTACGCTCGCAAGACCCGGAAGCAACAGACTGAGCGAGTCGGCAAAGAGAATCACCAAAGCGACACAGGCTGCTATCAACTCAAGACTGAAAAGGGCAGAAACAATGACCCGCGCTCGGCTCCCAAACGAGATATACGCCAGGTCGGAGTACGTAATGAGACTGGGGTCAAAATCCATGCACTTGGCCAGCAGCTTGCCGGTGTACGACGTAACAGCCGCTGTCAGAGTGAGAAGAAATAGGCCAGGGATCCAACCTGTCATCTGCAGGGCCAGCGGGAGACTGAGCAATCCGACACCGATCAGGGCATTGATCGAGTTGAAGACGGACTGAGGAAGAGTGCTCTGGCCCTCAACAGCAAGTACAACCTTATTGCCCTGCTTAACCTCTTTGACCAGGATGGGCTGGTGTTCGCCATGCGCTGCATCCTCGGCCTCTTCTTCTTCATCGTCAGCTACACCCCAGCCACTACCCTCACTGAACGAAATGCGATGGCGCGAGCCCCTGTCCATAGTTCCAAAAGGAGTAGAGTCTCGGAACGAACCATAGCTTCCAACAATATCGGGAGCTGCGAGGTGAGGCGGGACGGCGAAGATACTTGATCGGGGTGACCCAACGGGGGATGAGCCAGCTTCGACATCAAGTAGAGGCTTCATCTCGCCATCACGATGGGGGATCCTCATTGACCTCGGTGAGGACTCAATGGCTGAGCTTGACTCGCCGTTCGCATGCGAAGACGAGGCATCAAGATGTTGGCGCAAAAGACCCGATTGTTGTTGCGACAATCCTTGAACATGGCTGCGACTATACTGAAGGTCTTCTGTGTCTTGCTCTGGCGCAAGAACAAAGCTCGGTCGGCGAGGAATGACCTCAGGAAATCCTGCTGCTCGCTGCCAACTCCTGGCGAAGGATCTGAAACTGTTTACACCACCAATGTCTGCGATTGCTGCCAACTGGTAGGTGACGGAAGACCTAAAAATTGTTAGTTGCGAAAACCAATTGATGAATTCTCATAAATTAGACATACCGCCGTCGCGGCCTCGAAAAACCTTCACCATTTTCTTGGTGGCCAGTCTCGTCGCCTTCGTCATCCACAAGAGCTTGTTCGCGCTCAAGCATGCTGTCAGTCACGCTTCCCCGAGGTGAAGCTCCCCCTTGGTAGTCATCCCAGCTCGTAGGATTCCGCGCCGGAGACATTGTAATTGTGTATCGTCGCCAACTTCACGTTTGTTTTTGGTACGTCCTTCTCGTTGTGTTTCGCGTTGCCTGACTAGGTAGATCTAAGAAGACACTCCGTTGTTCTTAACAATCAATCGTCTTGGACCGCCAAGTTAAGCGTCGGGGTGGCGAAGGCTGCAGAAAAAACTAGAAAGTTGGAAGGATGGTTGCAATCAAAGTCTGCAACGCAACAACGGACAGGGTCTGCAGACTCGGCCAAATTGACGAGGTTTCACCAACTGTCGACGAACAGTTTGAGGAGGTGCAGAGAAAAAAAGGAATTGAGAGGAAGCAAACAAGCGGACAAGAGAAAGAGGGCAGACTCGGCTCAGGGTCATATGGCACGCGGCTCAACTTGGACCATAGCGAAGTGGGCGCGCCAACAGACGAAGGACATGACGCTTATCGCAGCCAAGAATAGTTCAAGAACGCCTGTGCCCTGTGCACACGATAGCCGATGGTCAGCGGCTCCTCGTTTTGGGCTTTGGTTTTGGATTTGAGCTTGTAATTGGGTTGGCAGGGTTGGATGGAACCAGCAGGGGGTCGGGTTACTGATACCAAGAACCAGTTCAGTTCAACCAGACACGATAAGACGTTTGTTTGACTAAGGATGCTGTCGTCTCAATCTCCAGGACCCTCGATAGCTGCAGTTGAGCGCCACTAGGTTGATTAGCCTGTTCTCGAGGGGTTGATGGAGGGTCACTTTTGGTACAGTAACAGCACCAACTGCCGGAGAATAGGTATGGGCGTATGGATGATAGGACAATGTCCCAGGCGTACAGGCGACAAGCGACAAACGACCAATGACTGACTAGAATGAGCAACGCCAACACCAAAGGAATGTGTCGCCGTTTCGTAGGACAACAACGCTCAAAGTCTCACTCACTCACTCATGCATGAGCACTCCTCATGACTGACATGGAACCTAATAACTAAGTTAACTAATGGAATGGCCTAGCAGCTAGGGTTGGCGGTTGTACCCGCTAGAGTGCAGTCGCAGAGACATCGTCGTGGCACTGAACCCCACCTGTAATTCAACTTCTGTGCAGCTCTAACAGGCTTGACGGGATATGGCTTCGTTTTGGGTATGGGGTGGTGGACGCTCGACGCTCGATGGTGGAGAAATGTGCTGGGGGCTCACGAGACCAGATCCAAAGCAATAACTAATATGTAAGAGACTGTCTGCAAGTCGTTGTCTGCGGGCGCAGATGTTGTAGGGCCATGTCATGTCATGTCACGTCCTGTCATATTTTGCTGATTGTCCATGTTATTTGAAAGAGGAATAATAGAGATACAGCGTCGATCTTGTTCTGTCTCATGTTACATTACGTCCATGCATTGCCAATGTAAACCACAGCAGGAACCAGGTTGAATGCACCTCCCATTCATACATACTACACCTAACGCATCAACTGATCTCACCTCACCTTATTCCAACCTACAGCATGCTACGTACCTAGGTAGGTCAGAACAACAAAACTAGGTATGCGCAAGAATAGGATTAAAATTCAAGCATATGCGATTGACAAATGGCATTGGATTAGACTCTTTCGCAGAAATCATAATTCGACCGTGGATCAGATCACTACCTGCCTACCTACCTACCTTACCTGCCTATTTCTTCCGTGGTGCTACCTTGGTAAACTCAGATCTTTCTTATCTTATCGCAACTAAAAGTTGCCCTGGCCTCTCAACTTCGTCCATCCATCTCTATAACAAATTCAAACGTCACTCTCCATATTCGAAATCATATTAGTGAATCTTTCGGCCGAATCTCGGACTTACACAATCTCTCTCCCGGATCTATTATCAATAATGCTCACACATCATCCACCTCCATCATGACAACTCCTCCCGATGCCGCCCTCTTAGCAACAACCAGCGACTCCCTCGCGCCTCTCATCCCTATCCTCAACGGTTTCGCCCATCGTCACAAGAACCAGCATTCTTCTACGCACTGGTGGTCCTCCTTCTCTATACTGCGCCGCGCAGTCCGTAATCTTATCAACGACCTCAACTCACGTCCTAGAAAGGTCAAATCTGGCGGTGTCAAGCGTGATGTTCATCCTGCTCTTGTGCGCGCAAAATGGATGATGCGCCATGTAGTTCCTGGCGCCTTTGTGTAAGTCAACGACCTGCTAGCACGTCCTCCAACCTTTTAGATAGGAAGCTAATCGCATGTTTATTCTACGCACAGCACTTTCTCCCAACTTGCAGCTGATAACCAGTATGCGCCTCTCGGACTGCTCCTCCTCTCAGTTCTTGCTCGAACCAATACTATACTCTCCCAACTCGTCCCTGACCACGACCACAACCCTCCAATATCGACTAGTACAAAGCCAACGCCTTCGGAGCCAAGCAAGCATAAGACTTCGGATTTAGGAACGGACGATGCATCTAATGCCGGAGTGGACTTGGGCGTAGCCATTTCGCGTGATGAGCTTCTGTCAAACCAGAAGAAATCGAAAGCAGTATCGAAAGCAGACTCCCGCTCGAAAGACCTCAAGTTGAAAGAGTGTGAGACCAAAACGACACATACAGATACCAAGAGGATTCCGTCCAAAAGTGTCACCATAGAAAAACCAAGAAAGAAAACGAAAAATAGCGATGAATTGTCTAGTCTCTTCGGCTCTCTTTCATCGAGCAATGGCACTGCAGCAGATAAGCCCAAAAAGAAAAAGAAGAAAGGCGACGCATTTTCCAGCCTCTTCGACTCTCTGTAACGATAATGTCATTTACTATACATACACAGTTCGGGTTATATACGGCTTCGAATACATGTAACGAACAATAACCATGTCGGCAACCACTACAAATACAGCAAACTGTTTCGAGGACTGGTGATTTTCATTACAACACACTGCAAAATTAGAAACAAAAAAAGTGCAAACGAGTAGGTATGGTCCACTCTACGTTCATCCTGCTCTCCAAATTCCCCGTACCCTGTGCGCCTCTTTGGAAGATCATGCTTCGCGCCGTAAGTTGAGCGTATGGAGCTTGATTCCTGTATCCGATATCCAAGTAACAAGAATTTCTGTCGCTCACTCTGTTTAGCCACCACGTGAAAAGCAGAATGCTTCCCCTCAAAGATATCCGTCCCAGTACAGCCACCGCCGCCAAGCACATCACTTTTTCTCCGTCGTGTACCAGTTCGCCCTTGTTCGTACCCATATCCTTCTCTAGGCACAGCATCTAAAAAGCAACCCATTGAGCCGGTTCCTTGTTTAGTCAGGAATAGGGACGGTAAGACCAGATACGAGCCTTCATGTCGCCAGAGCCAGTGGCAAAGTATCGTCCTTGTGGGCTAGGTGCAACGCTGATAACGGAGTTCTTATGTCCCTGCAGCATGAGTTGCGTCGTACCCGTTCTAGGGTCCCAGAACTGGACTCCACGATCCTTGGAGCCAGAAAGTACCCAGTTGGCCTCGGGGGTGAGAGCAACTGATAAAACGAAATCGCGGTGACCCTCGAAGGTTTTGACGCACTTGCCACCCTTGGGGCCAGGCTGATTTCCTTGACGAGGGGCGCTGAGCTCCCACATCTTGATAGTCCTATCGAGACTGCCAGAAACCAGGTCCTTACCGTTGGGTGAGAAGGCAACCGAGTAGACACTATCCTTGTGACCATCAGGTCCTTCCAGACGCTCGACAAGGAAGCCGGAATGGATGTCCCATACACGTACACTCTTGTCGAGTGAGCCTGCAGCGACGAATTGGGTATCGGGAGAGATGGCGACAGTCGTGACGCCATCCTCTATTGTCAGAGTGAGAGTGTTTGTGCCTTGTTCAATATCCCACAGGCGTACAGTTCTATCGCCACTGCCTGAGGCAATTGTTCGACCATCACGAGCAAAGTCGAGCGAATAAATATCTTGCTCGTGACCAGAAAAGTGATTTCGAATGGTTCGAGTTTGGATATCCCATACCTGACCAAGATTAGTAGGTTAAAATATTTTACGTTTCTGACACAACTTACTCGAATCAACTTGTCTTCAGCACCAGTAGCCAGATAGCGACCATCGGGACTAAAGCAGACACTGCGAATGTAGAGATCGGCGCTCATATCAGAGGCATTATGGTCCTCGAGCACGCAAACCTTTTCACCAGTCTGAACATCAAAGATTTGGGCAGATCTATTGCAACCAGTTGCAACATACTTGCCATCATGACTGAACCTGACACAGCACACAACACTTTCGTGGTTGAGAGAGTGGACGAGGTCCACATCCAGAACACGCTGGACCTGAGGGTTGAAAATAGCATACCAATCCTGCCCAGTCTTCTTATTATGAGGGGCCACTGAGTCAACTTCAAGGTCTCCAAGAGCGTTGCCAACGGCAGGGGCATGTGGGCCTCCCATTCGACCGTGTTCGGGAGTTGGATGGCTGACTTGAGGGGAGGCTGCATTTCCAGGGTAAGGCACGGGGGTGTTAACCTGGGGTGTAGCAGGTCCGACGGCACCTGGTGGACGACCGATGCCCCTTCTACCGGGGCCGGGAGAGGCGGTGCTCTGCGGCTGGGGGCCCATCCCATTGGAAACGGGGCCCGGAGGATAGTTCTGAGAGTAAGGTGCTTGCTGCGCGTTGGGGTGAGGAGGAGGGACGGGAAGTCCAGGAGGCCCTTGGCCCATTTGGTGCTGAGGTCCCAGCGGCTGCTCCTGAGGAGGGGCATGTCCCTGCTGCGTTTGCTGCTGCTGTTGTGCACCCTGGGGTTGGCCCTGCTGACCCTGCTGCTGGCCTGGCTGAGGGGGGACGAGACCTCCCTGGCTACCGCCAGCCATGATGCCGCTAAAAAGACCATTGCCAGGAGCGATAGAAGGAGGCTGCTGGGAGGGAGCTGCATGTTGAGGCGGGCCGGGAATGCCAGGCTGGATGCCTCCCTTTCGAGCAGCCTCGAGTTGGTGTCGCAGAGCACTGATCTCATCTTCATATCTGTGATTCGGGAGGTTAACGGGGATATAGAAACTAATGGCGCGAAAAGATCGGCTTACTTCTGCTTAAGGCTGAGATGAGTCTGCTCCATCTGATAGACCTTTTCACGAACCAGTTGCATTTCACTGACTTGCGCGGCAACTAAAGATACAAATGTGTTAGCTGGGGTGAAGGAGATAACGCGATATGAGCTATCGCCGTACGAGTAGTGGACATACTCTGATGCTCGTAGTTTTCCGTCGCGCGCATCTGAGTATCAAACTCGACCCTAATCTGTTCGAGCAACTCGTTCAGCCGAGTGGAATTGCCTTGGGGGCCGCCCCCCATGGCGCGATGCGGATACATCGACATTGCGCAAGGCGGGTCTCAGCGATGAGTAAGTAGCTCGAGAAACGAGGCTCGTTGAGACGACAGTCAATTGCGGTGAGGTGGACGATAAATGAAATTGTTTATCGCGCTACGCTTCGTGTATTCGGCGTCGTCGAGGAGTTGGCGCGCGAGGCTGAGTACCAAGTCAAGATTGATTAAGGATATTGGCGTTGGCTACCGACGCAAGGCAACTAATTACAGACGCGAACCAAGGAACGCGAACTGGACAGGTGCCGATGAAATCGAAGCGTGGAGACGCCCTTGATGAGCAAGGGCCAGCTCAGATAGTCGTAGGATATGATATGCGCCGACGGGGTTGGGCAGTTGTCGACGGTTCGGGTAAAAGGTGATTAATTGTGATGATGTTTTGATGGAAGAGTAAGAGGGAGAAAAAAAGACGAGGCCTGGCCGAGGAGGAAACGGAAGCGAGTGGTGCTGAAGCAAGAACCCGACCAAAGCATGGACGTAGTGCATGGGTACCTTAGTAGATATCAGCCTCTAGCGGCTAGCCTCCAAGTGGGTCCCCACCCTCTGAGCCAGGTGGGTGCTAGGCGGTCCGGGGCAATCTGCTGGCTCCATTTGGGCGGGGCTGCCCTGTGGCTGCATTGGTTAGGTATAGTAGTTTGCTAGAAATACACCTTGCAACGCCTCAAAGCCTCAACGCCTCCCCTTGAAGTCCCCCTTCGACTGTCTTCTCATTACGGTTTTTGGCCCTTTAGCCTGACGCTGTGACACCCTGTTTCTTTTTTTTCTCTCTGACGACAGTCTAAGACGGGTAGTTAGTTAGCGCACGCCCTTTTCCCTCGTGCTCCCCCTCCCTGTCACAAACCTACCCTTGGCACTTTGAGAAGTGCCACGCTGCAGCAAGACGAACACTACACTACGCCACAGATCCCAGAATGTTTATTAGAAGCGGACTCCTCCAGTCTCACGAGAAACTCGATTGCTGATGGGGACGTGTGAACGGGCAGGCAAAGGGGGGTTTGTTTGGCTTTAATGCATGGATACATATTACGTGAACTCTTACTTGGACCATGATTGGTATCATTCTCGGATCTTTGGCCGAGGCTACTACCCTTGCCCTGATCATTAATTTTGCGGATCGTTCATACCAACGTCAATTCTCCATCGTAAACTGAGTTTGTGACAGTGAAGCCGGAGAGCTTATCGTGGCGCAGATCATGCTGTTGCCAAAGGCTCGAGTTTCTGGAGTCGGTGGGAAGTCAATTATTGTTGATGGCAACAACTGGAGAACCATGCAAGTTAAAATAAGTTTAGCTCTCTCCTCACAACAACCCTTTCCCACCACATACATGCTGTCCCTTAGCTCGAAGATGCTTCCTCCGAGCCAATCGAGTTACGAGGAGTGGACTGTACTCCTGTGTCTAACATCTGCAGACCTTGCTTGCATCTGTGACAACACAACACATCACAGCACAGCACCACTGAACACAACAGAGCCGCGCCACCTTCACGTACACAAAACGGAAGTGACAGGCAAGTCTCGTCGGATTTGGCCAGTTTTGTGTGACATTGTGTGCGACATTTAATGGAAGGTGACTGGTGCCACATACCTCATCCTCTCGCGAACATCATCTATCGTCTGTCATTGTCAGAAATGATGAGTTGCGAGTGGATGACAGAGAACCGTGAGTGGCATCAAGATTCATATTCGAAGGCTCATTCGTTCTGTTTAGTCGAGTAACGTCACCATATTCGGGTATTTTTGTTCTTACCAGAAAGGTTGGTGGGCGACACACGACTCACAACAGGTGAGAAAATGGTGATAAGGCTTGAGTATCTGACTCGGGAGAGATCAAGTATTGCGCAGCTGGCCTTTGTCATCATCCTTAACCCGTCTGCGGGGTCGGATACCTCGGTAGGTACTCACAGAAACCCGATATGTTCGCACTTAATTAGGTACTTACTTTATATGAGCTAGACTGTAACATACCAGATTGCTATTCATCGTCTCTTTGTTGTCATGTTTTCCAGTTGTCGAAAAGAAAACTCCAAGTTGAGTTCCCCCATGCACTTAATCATAGATATAAAACGAAAGCTGCCCGACGAAGTACAGATGAAAGTCACTGACGTAGAGCAAACTTTCGAGGCGATAGGATTATGCGTATATACAGTTCAAAGGGTTTGCGCAATGAACGATGATGAAAGATATAGGGTAGCCAGAAAGCATGATCCCCAAACCACTGAAACAAGGGCTGTCAGGCCAGTTCAAGGATAGCTAATCCCTCTTATACCCGAAATCCGTGGGTTAGGGGTCCAAAGTCAGCATCAGAAGACGTCAGTTCATTTTCGTCGCTGTATGATATTTCCAGGGTTTCCCCGACGTATTCGTTTCCGTATCTCCGCGCTGTATAGATGAATCGACAATGCATTGTCGAACCATGATCTTGACTTCATGTATTCAGATGAAAACGACAAAGTACAGTACACGCGATGGATAGAATTGCGATGTCGAATATGTATGACATATTGACTGTAAAATTCCTCTTGTGCAGTGCCATGAGGCCTTAGTTCAGAATAAACCCTAGAACCATTGCGCAGTGAAAACCACACTATATTGATTCGCTCAGTATATCAAACTCTCACAATATCAGCATGATGTCGCAGCGTAGGTAGGTAGTGTTGCGGTAAAGATATACCTTGACCTCAGGGTGTAAAAAGGCTTCTAACGTTAAACTAAGGTGCTAAAAATACTTAGTCTAAGATCCTTTAAAACTTTACTAAATTTACCTAAGTTTACCTAAGGCTTTTTATTACCTAGGATAGAGGTCCTACACAGTAAGTTTTATTGCATCCCATTGCTTGACAACTTCCCCTTTTATTAAGGCTGAACTACCCAGAGCTGAATCGTTCGATATCTCGTCTTCGTGATATCGGAAAATAAATGGTCCTCGATCCAGAGTGGAACATCAATCCCAATTGTAAAAGCTAATTGGTTCACGAGCACTCGGGCTCTGAGAAGCCGGAACAGACCACTTCAATCAACACAAGAAGGCTGAAGCGACATTAACCCTTGTTTATTTTGTTTTCTGGTGGTTGATGAGGTACTGAAATAGCGCTGAACAGAGCTATTGCTCGCCCGGGCTCGTTCGGAGCTCATCATGCGATTCTCATTCAAAGACGACCGTTACTGGCCCCGGTACTTGACGAATCTCATCTCGAGCATAAGAATTCTCCAATGAGAACTGTAGAGGTTTCTGTATTCGTATTTACATTCTGTCGAGAATTCCATGTTTTGAATATCCCTTCACACGTATGCAGCGCATCAATTGACTTCAATGGCAAAGACCCCTTCTTGTTCGTCAAAGTCACTAGGAGCTCCTCTTCTCGTACGTCCTACATCATAAGATAAATCTAGAAGCTCTCACTTCCAAGCCTCCCAATTGGCTCAACCGAGCTCTAAAGACCCTTTCCAGAACTCCACCTGTCTTTGCATCCCTGACAGAAATAACGGCCCCGCCTCGCAAGCCGCCGATGGACCCTTGTAGTATCAGACAATGTGATTTCCTTTACCTTGGTCGATTCATTGATAAAGAAGACGAAGCCCCTTCCGTGAATAGAGTTGGTTTTCCAGATCATTGTGTTTTGTAGGGGGTTCCCAGTAATTATTTGTTCCGCTTGGTTGACTCTTAACCCGAGTTCGTGGTGTTTCCCTTAAGTCACTTACACCAGTCTTCGCCCGGTACTTGACTTATACAAGTCCACTCATTTATCTGCCCGCGGCTTTATAACTTTGCAACAAACCCAATTGCCGATCATGGACGTCGTTCTAGAGGTCGTCGATACATTTATCGCTGATTACGCATACGCCTACTTCCATCCAAAGCCCCCGGCTCCTTATGATTTCCCGTCGCCCTCAAATTCGACAGATACGTCGGCCAAAGCCTTCTCAACATGGACTTACAGGCCGGCCACTCAATTCATCACTCTTGAGCCAGCAGAGGAGGCATATATGAGCGCTTGGGATCGTGACAATCCTCTTCGACAAGCTCTGACTCTATATCTTATCACTTGGTCAGTCATCATTCTGAGATTGATGGATTCAGCTAACAAGCTTTAGGATCTTTGGGCTTCTCGTCTACTTCATCGTCGCGACACTCTCATACATCTTCATCTTCGACAAGCGAACATTCGACCATCCCCGCTTCATCAAGAACCAAGTCCGCCTTGAAATCATTGCAGCCAACAAGGCCATGCCTGTCATGGCCATCATCACGGCACCCTTCTTCCTCCTTGAAGTGCGTGGATACGGGAAACTCTACGACACCACCGAAGATGGACCCGGGCTCTGGTACGACTTCTTTCAGTTCCCGCTCTTCCTCCTCTTCACCGACTTCTGCATCTACTGGGCCCATCGCTGGCTTCACCACCGCCTGGTCTACAAGTACCTGCACAAGCTTCACCACAAGTGGATCATGCCTACGCCCTTTGCTAGCCATGCTTTCCACCCTCTTGATGGCTTCACCCAGTCATTGCCATATCACATCTTCCCCTTTATCTTCCCGCTCCAGAAGATGGCATATGTGGCGCTCTTCGTGTTCGTGAATCTCTGGTCTGTCATGATCCACGATGGCGAGTACCTCACCAACAACCCCGTTGTCAACGGCGCTGCTTGCCACTCTCTCCACCACTCTCGCTTTGAGGTCAATTACGGCCAGTTCTTCACTGGCTTTGACCGCATGGGTGGCACATATCTCATGCCTGAGCAGTGGATGTTCGAGCGTAATATGAAGATGTCAGAGGGTCGATGGAAGAAGGAGATTGAGAAGGTCGATGAGCTTATTGAAGAGATCGAAGGTAAGGACAACCGTACATACGGTTCGTCTAGCACCAAGAAGACTCAATAGATGTTCTGGCAAGCCCAAAAGTCCATCACTAATTTCTGTCAAACTGGATTTGGTCAAATCTTCGCATCAGGACCAAATCTGGGGCGTTCTCATTAGCAGAACTGGCACTTGTCACTAAGTGTCAGTAAATGAACTTGCCAGTTGACAATGTTACCCATCCCCCGGCCTAGCATCGGGCTTTCTTTGTATATAGATTTCGACCTTTGTATGGGTATTCACTCACTGACGGCGTTTGGCGGAGATCACGATGATATGATGAATTCATCGATTGCATATTTAGTACTGGCAGATAAGAAAAGTACAATAGCTGACTGGGCAGACAGAGCCTACTCAGTTAATAATAACCATTTCGCATCCCACCTTAACTCCTTGCCTTGCAGATCATATATGATGAGTGCAGGCTGCTGATATCAAATGCTTTATTGAGCAATCCAACAAACGCTGCCGAAACATAGAGGAATAAGGAAATCGCATAACAAATCAGGGAAACCAAAAAAAGACTTGAATAGGTATAGGAAATTGCATCTGGTGTGCCAACGTAAAAAGTGTTTCGAGCCAAGCCATCTATCGCTTCGACATGGCGTAGTTTTTAAATGATGCGGAAGCATCGAGCTTTGTAGAGGAGGAATAGTAATATAAGCGGAGAGTAGAATTCGTAGTCGAGTGGCGTCGTGATGCGCTACGTTTCTCGTCGAGTACTTCGCATGCTCATGGAGCTCTTATGAGAAGCTCACGAACTTCGGATCCCTCGGTAATCCATCAGCGCCAATACCGTTGGCCTTGAACCGGTTCTCCATGTAGACCTTCCTCGCCTGGTCAAAGTTCATCCTTCTTTTCTTCATGATAGAGAGAACCTCGGCCTTGGCCGCATCGTCAAGACCAGCGCGCGAATCGCCTGACTCGACATTTCCAGAGAGATCGAATGTATTGCTGGAAAGGCCGGCCTCGATATCGCCTGCGAAACTGTTCGGGAGTCGCGAGTAGATGTAGTCTGCGCCAGGGAGTCTGGGTCGTAGATGTTGGACGTGGGGGATCCAGTGGGCGCGGGTGAAGAAGAGAACTGTGCCGAGGATGAGGGCGAAGAAGGAGATCGAGTAGAGAAGATATGACATGCTGGGCGAGTTTGTATTAAAGAGAAAGATGATTGGTAGTGGAGGTAGATCGACAGATTTATGTGCAACGCAACGATACGATCGGGGTACAAAAGAGAGGAACGGCCAAGTCGCAGGCGTATTAAAGAGAATAGAATTTCAAAGTTGCATGATAAATAGGAAGCCCGTCTCTGGTAAGAAACGGACTATAAAAACTCGCAAGTGCAGAGTTTATTAGTCGTGGTTGATATTTCTCGCCCGCATTTGAATAAGTGCAAGTTGAAGTCCAGCAATAAAAGTGAAAAGACGAGCCTCCTTCGCTTTGTCTCAGGAATGAAAGTGCTGACGTGACTCTGTTTGCGAGGCCACGGGCTCCCTCTCCCAATCAATTAAGCCACGCGTTTCCTGGCTTGGCACAGCCGCTACAGGCACAAGGACACGCAAGTTGGTTCTGAAGTTGTTACAGGAGATAGAGGCATACGCTGTAATATGGTAGTTTTCAATCACTGAGCCGAGCAATGTGCCCTTCCTTATAATAGATGGGAATGAGCTTTGAATGTCTTATTGTATGACATCAGGGGTCGGTCGTATCAACCATTCGCCTCTCAACTCTGTTCCAATGAATTTACCCACTGACACTCTGGCCCAGTCTTTCGATACTCCCGCCTCTAGGTGTAAGAAGACTTCTAACGTTAAACTGAGGTGCTAAAAATACTTAGTCTAAGATCCTCTAAAACTCTACTAAATTTACCTAAGCTTTTTGTCACCTATGATACGGAGTAGAGGTCCTATTTTTTTATTGCATCCCCTTGTCCCGCCCGACGGCCCCCTGCCCCCTTTGGCCCAGCAAGCCCAGTGGGTGTCTAGCCCTGTTTGGCATGCTAGGCGAGCCCCATAATTTCTCTACGCACAATTCTCGCCGACTTTGGGTGAATAGTCTTTGGAACTGGATATCTCGACGACGACAACCTCAAGCTTCACTCTCCCCGGTCAATTTTCACGCCAAAACCTCCATTCACAATGTCTACCGCCCAGGAGCTCTCTAACATTTCCTCGGACCTGATCTGGGAGATCGTCCGTGAGTCTCCCTTCGACGATTTCCTCATCTGATATGATATGAATTTTGGCCTACGATATGCGCCTTGATATTGAAGAAGTCAATTACTGAAACGTTTTTGCGATCGCGCAGGTGACAACAACTGCTTCTCCGCCAAGAGCAAGAAGAACGGCGGTGTTCAGTTCTCCCGAGACCCCCTTAACCTGACCAACAAGACTTCTCGCAAGGTACGATTCTGTTCCCGAGTTTTGATAGCCTCTTGGATATTCGAGGGGTTATGGTCGATCGTGTGCGCTAACTCATCTCACAGCACGCTGGTTTCGTCAACGACAAGGTACGACCACAACAGCCCCGATGAGGACGTCTCGACTCGATGAACGTACGATGCTAAACAACCCGAATTAACAGGCCCTCGGTATCGCCCCTGGCGAGAAGGGTGCTATTGTTGTCACCTCCAAGAAGGCTCAGCCCAACAAGCCCGCCCAGAACCTTGTCAAGACCTCTTACAGCGGATCCAAGAGCAACCGCAAGTGAGTATTCGACTGCCCGCATCGTCGTTGTCATTCGACATTGAACATTGGCGGAACTGGGCTGACTGTGATTCTTTCGCACAGGACCTACCAGGCTGTCGCCAACCAGGCTGCCAAGAACGGTTACCGTGCTGACCTCCGCTCCGCTGCCGTTGAGCGTGCCTCCGCCCTCAAGAAGTCCAACAAGCCCGTCAAGCCCGAGCCCGAGCAGAAGCTCCGTGGCAACAAGGCCAAGAAGGCCGCTGCCGCCGCTGAGGAGAACTAAGCTGTCTAATACCAAGATAGAAATGTATTGTGATTAAGGCTGGGCATGAAGCTAGGGAGGCAAGCTGCATAGCCCACAACTGATGAAAAAGAGATCAGTGTGGGAATAGCACATGAACCGAGGTCTCTGGGTCATTCACTGCTGGAGTTAGTGAGCTCAAAATGAATGAATATCTCGCTGGAAATATCGCCGGCAACCCAAAATTTGTGTCTCAGAACAAGAAAGTGTATGTTGGTGAAAGCATGATGTAGGCCATATCAACAACCATTAAGACCGAACTACTTTTCGCGGTTTATACCTTCAGTGACGTAACACAACAAAAGCCTCAGCCAATAACTAAATACATGATTGACATGGCCGGTCTAGAACAAAGTCTGCTCTGCTCTTCCTAGTTCTCTGATCATCTGTGGAGGCTCACGATGTTTGTCTGGATGTATAAGTGCGAAGCGGTAGAATTCGGGTCATGACTTCGGTACCACGGGATACCGAGGATCATGCCGAGTGTCAAGGCGCCGAGGATCCTCATGAATGCGATTCAAGACGTCACCGTCCCGGATAAGTTCGGAGCAATGTTTTGGACAATAAGATCATATGTCGGAATGTTTTGATGCTCAAGACCTCATGTAGCCACAATCCGGAATTAGTTTTCTTGAGTTAGACGCATGTCAATCTCCAGACGCTGACCATGGTGAAGGTCATGAAACATGGTTGGTGCAATAGACGCAAGTCATCCACCGAAGTCAGTTTCTGAACGACAAATATCCGGCTGCCATACGGTATGAGGCATATCAACATCCGGATGCTGGAGGCTACCATCCACGGAAGTATCGGAAAAAGACGAAACTCGTTTGACAAGATGTCAATCAAGATTCGTGATGATGTTTCAAACGACTTGGCTCATACTCAAAGTGAGTGGGCTAATAACAACCAACCACCAAGGCTGCAGAGATGCGTTACGAAATTTCCAAATTTGGTAACGGGGAGGGATCAGCCGCCCCCTCATCTTGGTGGCTTGAACATCTAGTTAGTGGTTTGTTGATTTTCTGCAAACAGTGAATCCTTGTAACGAGAGTGCATTGTCCACTTATAAGTTACAGACCTAGTAAGGGAAGAAACAGAGCGAGTAATACACAACGCGGGGTTTACACGATAGAATTACCAACACTTTCACATGAGCGACTTGCTTGACTGTCCTCGTGGAGCTTGGTTGGACAATTGAGTTTGGATCTGGTGTGCTCACCGGAGTTGGGTCGGGGTTGCGACGGTCAGGCCCGGTGAGTTGTCCAGAGCTGTCGAGTTGGAGGTGCAGGGAATAACTAACTATCGGTCCCTTGACGGCCTTCCCCACGGGACGCTGGATGTGAGGGTTCAGGTTCCAGAAGAGAACCAGACTCGGATCTGTAGTCTGTCAAAACAAGATTGACATCCCGTCACTGTTGATTGGTATAAGACCCAATCGATGTAGCGGGCGATGGGGAATCTGTTGCATCAAGTGGTCAGGGCTTGTCCGTTGCTCCGTTGCTATCGTACGTCGTTCTCCATCAGAATTTATAGTCAATCTGCAGGACCCCCTCAGGGAGCAAAAATATCAGACCTGGGCGAGGGGTGTCAAAATAAACTCAGCAAAAGATATCCTAAACTTGTCCTAAGCTGTCTGAGTCGTTTTATTCTTTAAGATCAAGGACCCGAGTTTTCTTTCCTCCCCTAGACCCCCCAACAAGAGAAAGGAAAGCAGCATAGGGCGCTTGCGCACCAGTCTCAGCGCAAGGCTTTGCGCCAAGTATTGCGCCAGGTCTCTAACAACTGGAGCGGATCGCCATTGCGAGTCAAAGTGGGCGGGCGAGAGGGGAGAATTATCAATGGGTGAAGGGAAAGGAGAAATCCATGATGGTGGAGGCATGTAAGATACCTACCTACCTTTGTAGGTAGTCTACCTGTCTGAGAAAATATCATGAGTATTAACGAAAGCCCCTCCTGCAACCATCGAATGCCCCCGAAACAGTGGGTGATATCAGGACAGTAACGTAATTATCCAAAATGCAAACTCGTGATAGATGGTAATAAGCAATCAAGAGCTGGCGAAAGAGAAGCGAGATGATGATGCCGCTCCTCTTGGTTTGACTGTCCAATAGGCCTGGCAATGGGCAGTGGGTTCTGGACTGTGGATGATGCCCCTCAATTGTCGATGATAGCCATTGACCCTTGCAAGGAGGGGTTTCCTTGAGCCTGCATGGAGTTGGAACCCCCCACCAGAGCTCTCATACAGTTGCACAGCTCTTTTCTGTTGCTTTCCCCGCTCGACATCTGGCACCAACCTACCTAGGCTGTCGCACATGTCTGCGGCAGAAAAGATGGAGGCAAATATAGACGCCTGTGATAATCTCGGACATGTAAATTTGCCAGCCCAGCCCAGCTCCGTGAATCGCCGTAAAGGTTCCCGGTCAGCTCGGAGAGAATAACTCGGGCACTGTAATAGAGAAGTGCTATGATGGCTTAGCAAGGGGACTAGGTAAAGAGGCGTATCCATTAGAATAGCTCGGGAGTGTCTCAGCGGGCTTGAAGGGTACCCGTATGGAGCGGCGTACCTACCTGTACCTTACTGTATGGAGAGCTGCCCTGTAGGTAAGTAGGTATCTGGAACTAACTCACCTTAGTAGAGTACGGCAGGTATCGCCGTGGTAGGTGGTTGCCAGTAGCAGCCCAGTCTCCTCCGTCGTGTCGCATTAAGCACCCTCGAGACTCCCGTCTTCCTCTACATTACTTATTTCAACCCTCTCCCACTTCTTGACCCTCCTCCCACTCTCCTCATTCTTCCCACATCTTGACTCTTCCATCCAAGCTCTTCGTCCATTACCATCTTTTCTCTCTTTCCCAAAGTCTCAACAGAGCAACTACCCCTCCTTCAATCCCAATATACCTGTAAAATCAGTCAAGATGGTCAAGGCTGGTACGTACGAGCGCCGTCTCACTCACCCCTTCATCTTGACATCTGCCTATGATATTCGCGCTCTCTACACCTTGACATTGTCTCTTAGCACTCCTCAGAGCAATAATTGACGTTTTGTATAGTTGTTGCTGGCGCCTCTGGTGGCATTGGTCAGGTATGTTGAAACTTAGTCACTCATATCTTGAAATTACACCAGCTAACAATGATCGATGTACAGCCTCTTTCTCTTCTCCTTAAGACATCCCCTCATATCGACGAGCTCGCTCTTTACGATGTCGTCAACACCCCCGGTGTTGCCACCGATCTCTCCCACATCTCTTCCCGCGCCGTGAGTCGACCCCAGATTTCCCCAGTCGAACATGCATAATTCCCTTCCACCGAAACAAACTATTTGCTCACACCCTCTGCAGAAGACAACTGGCTACCTTCCCGCCAACGATGGCGCTAAGCAGGCTTTCAAGGACGCCGACATTATTGTCATCCCCGCTGGCATTCCCCGTACGTAAAGCTCTTACCCCGGACATCCGGCGTTGGTCCCCGCGTGTCCGACCGACCCCGGAGCCCCTCCCCCAGTTTTTACTCTACTGACCACATCCCCCGCACAGGCAAGCCTGGTATGACTCGTGACGATCTCTTCAACATCAATGCTGGCATTGTGAAGGGTCTCATCGAGGTTGCCGCCGAGGTCGCCCCCAAGGCCTTCATCCTCGTCATCTCCAACCCCGTCAACTCTACCGTCCCTATCGCTGCTGAGGTCCTCAAGGCCAAGGGCGTTTTCAACCCCCAGCGTCTATTTGGTGTCACCACCCTCGACATCGTCCGTGCCGAGACCTTCGTTGCCGAGATCACTGGCAGGGCTAACCCCCAAGAGCTGACCATCCCCGTCATTGGTGGTCACTCTGGAGAGACCATCGTCCCTCTTTTCAGCAAGGCCTCGCCTGCCGTTGATATCCCTAAGGACAAGTACGATGCTCTCGTGAACCGTGTCCAGTTCGGTGGTGACGAGGTCGTCAAGGCCAAGGATGGTGCTGGCAGCGCCACTCTGTCAATGGCTTACGCTGGTTTCCGGTCGGTTGCCTGATCACTTGACGCTGTTCCACCCAGTAACTAACATGACTGTAGATTTGCCGAGAAGGTTCTCCGTGCCGTAAAGGGCGAGAAGGGACTCGTTGAGCCTAGCTACGTCTACCTTCCCAAGATCTCTGGAGTTGGTATCCCTGGAGGCGAGGCCATCGCCAAGGAGACTGGTACCGACTTTTTCTCCGTTCCCATTAAGCTCGGCGTAAGTGGCAGATTTTCTCGTTTCTAGATATGTGCTAATATTACATAGCCCAACGGTGCCGAGGAGGCCACCAACCCGCTGGAGGGCATTACCGAGCAGGAGAAGGCTCTTCTGGCCAAGGCTACCGAGGGCCTCAAGGGCAACATCTCCAAGGGTGTCAGCTTTGTCCACAACCCTCCCCAAAAGTGAATACCCCCAATTTGATATCTTCCCTAATACCCAGTAAGATGCTTCCAGAGCAGGCAAAGACACTCCTGAGGAGCCCATAGCTATGGCACTAGACATAGTAATATGAGTCATGAGCGCGATTGCTGATGATATGACTTTGCGCAGGCTGTGAAATGTTCCGGGCGATGATTTACGGTCGATGTCTTTATAGCCCCGATATTGATGAATCTTGGGGACTGCTGCAGGTATGATTGGAGTTTTGGTCAAGGATTGGTCTAAACCATGGCGAAATTTAGCTCTTGCGCATTCATTGCTCGTTGGTTGGATGTTTGGTGTGCTGTGCCCAGGCTTGGTAGAAAAGGGTATCGTGGTATTATAGCTAGACAGACGAACCCCTCAGGGCTTGTTTGGTATGGTTTTAATCTGGAACACGGCACCCGGCAACTCGTTGATTTCAGCCTGGACACTGGTGTTGATTCCAAGGGCAGCCAACGCACCCCGTACGACACCGCAAGGGAACCATAAGAACTGTGGGGTGTAGCAAGTCAATAGAAGCACATATTATGAAGAGACTGGGGCTTTCTGAAACCATACCGGTTGTGC